GGGACCCAGAGACTGTCTTCTGCGAGACCCCACCAAATCCGAAAAAGCTGACAGATGGACGAGGCAGAGAGGCTGGAGCAGGGAAACGGGACCGGTAGTGACTACCCACGGAACTCACTCGAGCACCGGGAGCTCGAGAAGACAGGTCCAGTTTGCTCTGGAGTGAGTCAATGAGAAGTGGTTTCCTTGCGTAGTTGGAGAACTGCGCACTCTGGGGAGGCATGTTTCTAGTTGTGAGTCTCTGTACCTTACTGTAGCTGTGATGATGAGGAACCAGCGGTGGAGAGATTGGCGTTGCAGAGGCCAGGCTGATCGGTGTGGCTGAAGCAACTGCTGGTACAGTGTAAGGCGGTCGAGGAATAGTGGGGAGTTGAGAGGGGTAAGCAGTGTACGGCTGGGGGAACTGAGGGGTTGTAGTCTTTACACCTCTCCTGAGGTGCTCATAGAAGGAGGACTGTTGTTGAGTGGATGGCCGACGAACAACGCCTTGGAAGTTGGTCCTCCTGGTCGGGTGTACCACACTGTGCTGGACAGAGGGATAAGGAGGAGGGATAGAGGGAGCAGTGATGATGGGTGGCAACTGAGACGGAGCAGCAACTGCCTCTTTCAAGGTTGGCTCCACAGAGGCAGCAACAGCACCCCCACCGTAAACCTCAGGTTGTGTCTTCATGTAGGTGTGCGGCTGAGTAGCTGGTCTTGGTTGGTCAGAAACACTGGGCGGGTGTGGAGAAGCTGGTTTGAATTCATCACACTGGATATTTTGCATGACTTGATCGAGACGGGTCAAAACTTGCACGATACTGTCCTGCTGGTCTGGAGGCAGCACGGACATTGAGGAATACAGACTGGGGTTCAGAAAACGTGAGATGGCGAGATTGGGGACGGTGGGAGAGGGCAGAGGAAGCAATGGTGCAGCTGCCGAGGCTGTTGTAGGTAAGGAATCCTCTTTCTCGGTGGGGAAGTGGTCAGAGGATCGATGGTCATCAAAGTCGGAGTGAACTGCAGCACATTGCAGCTCTGTCTCACTGGGCACAAACACCGGAGCATTGGGAGAGAGCTTGAAGCTCCGTCTCAACTCGCTCTCTGTGTCCGAATAGCTCCCAGTAGTAGTGGTAGGTGTGGGACCTAGTTCCTCCTGTCTTCCTTCTTCACCCCTCTCCTGAACCTCAGACTGCTTCTCAGATTGCTCACGGATGGAGCACTGAAAAGGAGGCAGGTATTCGAACTCCACAGGATCCAGTGTTGTCTTTCCCTCCGGTCTCTCTTCCTCCTGGTCCTCATCTTCCGGTTCACTTTCAGAGTCTGTCACCTCATCCGCTCTCCCTCTCCTCCCCATGACCACCTCCCATTCTGTCATGGAGCTAGCGTTTGCTCTCGGTTCTCTCGGCTCTCGACCACTGGCCAGCAGTCGCGAGAGGAGTTGAGGAATCTGAGACAAAAGTTCAGCAGAGACTTGCATGAGTTCAGATGTAAACACTCTTGAGATGGCTCTCCGGAGGCAGTTCATGTTCTCCACGTCTCCTCTGTTGAGAAAGTGGTCATGAGGGAGAGGAGACAGCGAAAACGAGTTGATGCTTAGCCCCACAATCTGGTGGTGTTTGTAGTCCACCTGGATGCAGACAGCAGTAGAGAGAGGCTGGAAAGTGAGAGCCAGGAGGAGTGCATTCCGTCCACCGTGCAACGAGGGAAGAAGAGTGAGATGGCTAGCTGACACCAACGAGCGGCTACCAGAGCCTTGCAAGTGAGACGCCACGGCCAGGAAGGGGAGTGGCTTTCGTCGATGGTCGACCTCACATACCAGTCCAGTGGGGTTCCTCCACGAGAGAATCTGTACCTTCTCCCTCTCCTCTGTCATTCTGAACCAGGTGGTGGCCAGTGGGTGCTTGGGCCGGGAAAAGTTCACGTCAATATCACCGGCTTTCCACTGTGGTCGACGCTCGCCAAACTGCCAGAACATGATGAGCTCAGGCGGCAGAGTTGAGGCGACAATCTTGCTGCCGTCTTCTTCACCAGCCGTAACGTTTGGTGGAACAATGTTCAGGTTGTGCAGTAGAGCCGTAAGTGGGTTGGTTTCAAAGGTGTGGTTCAGTGTGAGAAGATATGTGCTCCCAAACGCGTTCACCCCGAAAAAGTTGTTGGGAAGAACAGTTTTGACAAGTTGCTGTACAGTGGCTTTGTTTGATTTCTTTCCACCGCTGATGACAATGGTCTGAGCCGAGTCCACTTGAGTGCTCCTCATTAGCTCTAGCAATATCTGAGACTCCACCTTCTCCGGTTCATTCAGCGATTCACACTGCCGCACGCCAAACAACATTTGGTCTGGATATGATGCTACGAGCATGGCTCGAATTATGTCAACATCTTCACAGAACTCGATTGAGAAGTCGGCAATGGAAGAGTGAGAGGATTCCGCGTGGGAGAAGAATTTGAAAGTGCAGAGAGAGGCAAGTTTTTTGAGTTCACGGTGGACAGCCGAGTTCGGAGGAAGATGATGAAGAGTCTTCTGGGCAATCTCACTGGCAGTTGCCTCCAGCTGGAGCAGTCTTTCCCAACGACAGGCATTCAAAATGGAAAACCTCTGGGCAAGCCTGTACTTGGAGCATCGTTCCTCGCAACAACTTAAGCGATACGCAAGCCACTTCTTGAATAGGTTGCACACCACAACAGCATCGCTGTAGCTCTCTGTGTCAAGTTCGCACCTGTTCTTGTAGCTACGAAGCAGACTGGCTCGAAACACACTCTCGTCCTTTATGAGCATCCGGCTGGGTAGGGAGAGAACGTCGCGAAGCAGAGACTTGGAGGCTGCAATCACCAGTGCATCAACAGCACAGCCAAAGAAAACTCCGCATAGCACCACGCGAGACAGGTCGAGGTCGACGGGGAGAGAGAGACTGAACCGACCGAGGAACGTAATGTCTGCCTCCTCGTCAACGTCTTCTCCGGGAGAGCTCTCAATGGCACCAAGTCTGCCGAGATCCTGCAGTGCTGCCTCCAATTGCCGCAGGTGTGGTGGTGTGATTGCCAGACTGAGAAAATCAGAGGGACGAGGGCGCCCGATCTTTTTCCCGACCTCCTTTGCCTGCAGTACCAGCTTAGCAATAGGGGATGTCAGGATTTCTGGTGGGTCGTAGGCAGGAAGCACAAGTCTGTAGAACCTGCGGGTGAAGAGGTGGACAACTGTTCCCACGAAAACTCTGCCGGCACGGCCTGCCCTCTGCTCACACGAGGCTCGCGAACACCAGCTCTTGACGAGGCAGGAGATGTGTCGCTTGCTGTCGTACTGAAGGCGACGATAGATCCCGAAATTGATGACCATGCGGAGTTTGGGGAGGGTGATTGAGCTCTCTGCAATATTGGTGGCGAGGATCACGTGAGTCAAGTTAGGTGGTGGGTCACTGAATGCCTCTCTCTGGTCTTCCAGTGGCACCTGAGAGTGAAGCACAAACAGACGGAAGCGGTCGGCAACTGCCATGTCCTCCAGCCATGCCTTCAGATGCTCAAAGTAGTGTACAATCTCATTGTAGCCGGGTAGGAACACCAGGGTTGACTCACCCATGTGTGCCTGGGATATTATAACATTTGTACACACCTCTTGCATGTAGGATGTTACAAACGGACGGGCAGCAAGACTGGTCTCGATGGAACTGCTTTTGGAAAGAACTTTGAGGTTTTCAGCTGCCTTTAGTTGACATTCGTCCCAGAAACTCTGGTTCTGTGGGATTGTGCCGACTTCGTCGATGAAGTAAGTGTCAACTCCGTAGTGCTTTACTCCGACAAAGTAGGGGCCAGCTACACTCTCAAATGACTCCTTGAGGTACTTGACCACCAGTGAGCTCTGCATCGTGGCTGACATGATGATCAGTCTGACTGACGGGCCCCGGGTCTCTAGAAGCTCTCGGACTACCAGCAGGGTGAAGTCGGCATCCGTGCTCCGTTCATGGATCTCGTCGAGGATAATGTGAGTGTACCTGCTGACTGTGTCTGGATTGTGTACGAGGGTCTGTAAGGGAAGAAGAGGAGAACATTAGTTACATTGAGTACCAACTGAGGAGAGGATAAGAAAGAAAGTGGGGACACTGAAAGGGGCTCACCTGCAGAAAGTAGCCAGTCGTGCAGTAAGTAATGGCAGCTCCAGAGAAGTTGGTACGATCTCCTCCCACACAGTACCCGACAGTGTGCCCAACCCGCTCTCCTCTCTCGTTCGCTACACGTTCTGCGAGTTTAACAGCCGCCATTCTGCGGGGTTGGGTAACAAGGATCTGGCATGGCCGAGGCGGAGACTGCGAGAGAGAATGTTCCAGAATGTACTGTGGGACGCGAGTGGACTTGCCGCAGCCAGTCTCTCCCTCCACACACACGACTCGGTGCTCCTCTATTAGGTCCAGCAGCTTTCGCCGGTGTGCTGATATTGGCAGGTCTACACACTGCCTCCTCTCCGACTGTGGTGAGGCAAAGGGAGAAGGGGTGGGGGGTTTGGAGCTGAGTGAATACGGCAAGCTCATGGAGGAAGACGATGAGATCGAGGATGGAGTATGAGGAGAGGTGTGGTCTTCCTCACACTCAGATGCTGCAACACTCAAGGGCTGGCTGCGAAATTCAAGCGGTTGCTCCAACACTTCCTCATTGACCGAATCTGCTTCTTCATCAACTGACTCGACTGCAATTTCCTCTCCGTTCACCTCCTTGCCACACTGCTCACTACCCTCATTCTCACCCTCTTCAGCATCTTCTTCCTCTTCTTCATCTTCACTCAATGAATCTTCCAAGAAATATGGGCTTCCAGGCACCAGCTGGTCGGTGATGTTCAGCATCTCACCTCTTGTACCTTCGCCAGCAGTCTCTGGAGTCAGAGCTTCGCAATCACCAGCTTCTGTCTCCGACAAACCCAAACCCTCTCCTCTTGCTTTCTCCTCAAAGATGAGCTGAAGAAGAGGAGGAGGAGGAGAGAGACGAGATCCTTGGAAGAGGTAAACACTGAGATTCTCAATGCACACTTTTGCTTTGGAAAAGAGACTGAGTAGGAGACAAAGATTTGGTTTCTGCCAGTTGTTGGTAATCTCCAGGAGCAGGTCCTGTATCGGTGGCTTGTTTAGCACCAGTTGTGAGTTGTGGAAGGCCTCTCGGAGGTTTGAGCTGGGTTCTCTGTTAGCTAGACCAGCCATGGAATGGGGTACGAAGGCCAGGGGGTAGAAGACAGAGCTCGGTAATGGGAGGGAGTCTGCCACATGCAGTGTGGAGGCGAGGAGTCTGGCCTGCTGCAGGACATGACAGAACTGCATGGCCACTCTCAGAGAGAGTGAAGAAGGCTGTTCGGGAATGACAACGGGAGGGATCAGGAGGGAGCAAAAGATGCAAGTCACAAGAAGAGCCTGCAAGTCATCTGGACCCAACTGGTAACTCTGCTCAGAGACCAGATGTTGCATGAAGCACAGGCTGGCACAGGGCAGCACCATGGCAGGGAGAACAGGCAATAGATCTTTGTCTAACTCTCTAACTAGACTGGCAACACCATCTTCCAGCGTTTCAAGTTTCCCACCAGCATAACTAGTGAGCAGGTGGAAGAGGGCGGCAAGGTGTTCTGTGTCTGACATTTCTCCAACAGTACCAGTGTCTCCCCTGACAAAAACTTCATCAAAGGTCTTGGTTGAAGTGCACCCGTACTCACACACTGTCTCCCTGCCGAGGAGAGAGTACGCTGTCTTTCTGATGGGGAGAGTGAGATCAGAAAAACAAGGCTGGCCGAGGTTCTTGGGTTCATACACAGGCCACCTCCAGTACACCCCATTTCCCACTGCTGCAAGAGTTGCATCGTACAATTTTCTTTCGACCCTCAGTACCTCACAGGTCCCAAACTTACTGGTCTTCTGATCAACGATGTCAAGAGGACTGGTGCTGTCTCTCCACAACTCACGGAGACCATACCAATCTAAGCTCTGAGCTATGGCTTTGCAGTAAGTAGGGTTGTCGGGCAGCTTATCTGTGATGTACTGCCACTGCTCTGGTTCCAACGCACCAACCAAACGAGCAACCTGTTCGAAACTTTTCCCCTGAATCCCCAGGTCCCTAATTACCTCAGAGCTCCTGTTGAGCTTGGAAGTGAATCGATTCCCACATAGGATGGATATGTCAATCAGATCCCTGTCCTCTGTCAGATGGAGAGATTGACTCAGAGAGGAGGGGTCCACCCACTCACATGTAATCTTGTCAGGTACCGGGTAGATGCTGGCCAAGCCAATTCCGAGGTCATCGTCAAGGTCAAACAGACTGAGGGGGAAAAGTTTCGAACCTGCCGCAATAGCAAAGTCGGTGTTTGAGGAGAGGACGCCCAACACCGAACGATGCCTGCGCTGGTACTCTATCATCTCCACAGTCGTCCCACGAGCACAGTACCTGAGGGGCACACCCTCTGACTGGAGGCAGCAGGCTATTTCCAACTCGGCGTCTTGGCTCAGGCGCCAGTGAACTCCCCGTAGGTCCCCCATTCCCTCACATACCTGGTAGACATTGGTGCACTGCTGCAGCTGGTGCTCATGCTGACTAAGTAACTCTGGGTACTGCAGCTCAAGATGCTCAACATTTGCCCCTGGAGCACCCTCCATGAAAAAAATCGGGGCCACTCCCACGTGTTTTAGGGCCCTTACAAACGCTAAAATCCGTTTTCTGTACAGCGCTAGATCTCCACCATAGAGGAGAGAGTACACGGAGAGCTGACCTGTCCTTACCAAGTGAGCATCGTAGGCAGACAGGGCCCACTCTACAACTGGAGAGAAGTCACACAGCAGGCGAGGTTTGGACCGCCGCTTGGCCCTCCTACTCTGATTCTGACCGAGGTCGACTCTTTCTCTTGCAGCTGCAGTCTTCGCTATGTAGCTCTGCAAGCCACGTACGGCTGACATTGACGGCGACCACCTGCATGCCCGTGGAAAGAGTAGATCTATAAGCGAGTATTTTTTCGGACATAAAACTTACCCGACTTCAATCGCAAGGCTAAGCAGCTACTACATGTCATCGTCGAGTATGCATGTGGTGGAGCGGTGTGCCGCGCCGCACATTATGTATGAACACGTGGGTAAGCCAAAGCGCATGCGTGCACAATTTATATAGCACGTGATCCTCACATGACAGATTTTGGGGGCGATCCCTCATTTTGGGGTGGATCAGTTAGGCGACTAGGCAGCTCCGTCTTTCTGCAATCGTGAAGGTCCCTGTGTGTAGGGAATAATGGAGTGATCGCTGCGGGGAACCATAAACGGAAGTGAGGCAAGCTTCCCTCTCTCAAAAACATACTATTTACGTTTGAATGTAGGTACCACTGAGAGGGGCGTTGATGTAGTAGCTCTGAGCAGCCATGGTCGTAAGGGGCCTCTCGGAGTACATTCTGAACAGCTCCCATCTGCGCAGAGTCAACGTGTCAGTGTTGGCCGATCACCTGCAGCAAGAGACTGGAAAACGACCCAAACTTCTCCTGAGGATCTCCACAGCTAAAGCCTGGATTTGGAACACCGGTGGAGCTGTGCTACGGCATATTGGAGACTATCCCACGTACACGGCTGTCAGTGGACCTGACTTTCACCTGGTCGCAGATAGAGCTCGCTGCTTCGTCAGAGCTCTGAAGTCTGTTGGGGTTGATCCTGTGTTTTTCATCGACGTATCGTCGGAAGACGCTAGCGATGGAGAGGTGCTGCAGGAGCAGAAGAATCAGATTGCCAGGGAGATGTCGGACGGCTATCTGATACAGCAAATGTTGGAAAGAACTACAGCCGCGGCGTTGGAGAATGTGAAACCGAACGAACTGGCAGAGAGGCAGATTCTGCACTCCCTGAGGGAAGAGGGTGGGGAGCTGGTGTTCTGTACTCACCAGAAGTCGATGCAAGCCATTGCTCAGTACGTCCGAAGTCACGAGGAGACGTGTGGAGTGGTGTCCAGTGAGGCTGACTTTGCCGTCGTCAGTGGGTGTGTCCTGTTCCCAAGAAGTGGGTTTGACTGTGAGAACCTAGTCGGACTGCGACGTGGGGTGTCGGTAGATGAGAACCCAGGTGAGGTTGTGGCCCTTGCCATCTCCTCCGCTGGTTTGGCCGAGAGTCTCGGGATCCGCGAGGACCAGTTGCCCGACCTGGCAGTGCTGTGTGGAACTGAGCACACCCGTCTCTTCCTCAGCCGTCTCTCTGTTCTCACTGCTCTGGGGATCGAGGGTAGCGATGTGGATGACATTGCCGACTGGTTGGAGGATAGGGAAGGTCCCCTTCTGGAGAATGATGTCATAAAGGGTCTCTGTACTCTGCACCCTGAGTTTAGGGAAGCGCTGGAAAAGTCGTACAGAGCATTTGCTGTGGGTGAGCCCCCTCTTGTGGATCCACCTAGTTTTGCCTCTCCTGTATGTGAGTTGGTAGAGAGGGAAATTGTGGGGCGTTGCTCTATGGCAGCTGCTGCCGCTAGGATGGGAAATGTAATGCTGCCTGTCTTACTCGAGAGCCTCACACTTGGCCAGCCATCCATTCTCGAGGTGCTTCGTCCTCTACGCTCAACCATCTACTCGTTGCTAGGGGTGAGTGCGGTGAGCGAGTTTGGTCGCACGGCAACCAAGGCATGTGTGAAGCAGGTCGTGCCTGTTTGCTCTAGCGTGGAAGAGAGCGTGGCAGCTGTTCAACGGTTGCAGTCGCTGCGAGGGACTGGAGTTGTGGGAGAAGTTAGGGATCGTGTACAGTCTCTCTACCATTCCCTCCGTGTTGTCTGTGAGCAGTGTGCTTCAGGTTGTAGATAGCGCTGTAAAAACCTCGCTAGAATTCCCCGAAATGGAGTGCCCTAAACTCCACAAGCTTGCCCTTGTCTGTTGCAGCCTTAGGTTATTGGCACTTCTCAACCAGTCGGCTTCGCTTGCCATCAGCAGTGAGGAGATGGATGCACTGCTTGTCTCTTGTCTCACGTGTGCAACTGAGGGCAAGGTACTGCCGCACATTGTTCACGTTCTGCCTTCAATGAAGGCCGTTACAATAGCCGAGTGGTTCTGCATTGTCATCGACTCTGTCTACCAGTTGTCAGCCATTGTTGGCAGTGCGGAGGCCTTCCCGGAGCCAAGAAATGTCTTTTATCCGATGGTTTACCTTCCCTACCACCTAGCCCTGGAGCCACACACTAACTTGAACACCCGACAAACGACCGATATCAAATCCGTCAAGGCAGCTATGGATTTTGCCCTCTCCCTTTCCTCGGTGCACCAGTTCAAGTTGTCTGTGTTTGATGCCGATGTGCCCCAGACCCTGCCTGACCTCATCACGCGCTGCAACGCTGCACTCGAGGAGGTCCTTGAGAACACGGAGAAACTCCTCCCACGCACCATGACTGCCCCTCTTTCAGAGCTACTTCGACCCCGGGAGAGGAAGAGCGAGAGTGAGAGCAGTTCGGATGAAGATGACGAAGAACAAGAGGATAAGTCGGAGCGGGTGTGGGACAGGGAGGAGCTCCCAATCATGGAGCACAGGGAGAGGATCCTGGAGCTCATTGGGAGCCATCAAGTAGTGTGCATCGAAGGGGAGACGGGGTGTGGCAAGTCTTCGCAGGTCCCGCAGTTCATCCTCCAGCGTTTCCCCGTCTCAAAGGTGCTCGTAAGCCAACCAAACTCCCTGGCGGCCAAGAAACTCGCCGAGCGAGTGCAGGAGGAGATGCACTTGCCTAGCACGGTGGTGACTCACTGTGATGACCTGCACACCGAGGAGGGCAGTGCTAGACTTATCTATGGAACAAATCGATTCCTTCTTCAGGTGAATAATTTAACCTCTGTATATTAGCACAGTAATGATGTAACTGTTAGCCTGAACACTACACGTGAACCATATTGTTTACCTTCTGTTGCAGGCACTGTTAAACATCCAAAATGAAGAAGAGGCGTGGTCTTACACGCATATAGTACTAGACGAAGTCCACGATAGAACAACTGACATTGACTTTGGGATGTTTCTCGCCCAACAACTGGCAGCTAGAGTTCCCGACCTGAAGATTGTGTTAATGTCTGCGACGCTGCAGGGGAAACTCTTCGTGGAGTATTTCCGACTGGCTCTGGGAGCTGATCGAGTCTGTGATCCCTACTTTGTCGGCATTCGCAGGTTTCCCGTCCATGTTGTCTTCATAGATGAGCTCTCGGAGCTCTTGTCAAGAAGGAGGGACGCCGTCCAAGCGGGAGCCATGGCGGATCTGGCTCGCCTGCAGACCAAGCTGGAGGGTAACAGTGCTATCTTGGCCCACATGGCAGAGGTGAGTCCCTATGCACAAGAAGTGTGCATCAACCTCATATTGGCAGTGCCCAAGCCAGGCGATACAGTTCTGGTCTTCCTGCCCGGGCTTGCCGACATCATCGATCTTCAGTCCTCCCTCTCGAGAAAACTGCGACAGCTGAAGGTCAAGGACCGGTTCAGGATCTTTGTATTGCATGTCCAGGTCCCAACTGAGGACGAGAGAGAGGTTTTCGACAGACCTCAGTCGGGACAGGCCAACATAATCATCTCCACCACAATTGCAGAGAGTTCAATTACCATTCCCCATCTTACACTTGTGATCAACTTTGCTATCCGTCGCTACATGATCTACGATCCAAAGACCCACATTTCGAAGCTGACTCGTCAGTGGTGCTCCAAATCCTCCTGTACCCAGCGGGCGGGGCGGGTGGGACGGGTGTCGCCCGGTACTGCCATACACCTCATCACACGTGAAGACCACAAGAAACTTGCCGGGTTCAATCTCTCCGAAATTGTCTTCTCTCCGCTTGCCAAGACGGTGCTCAAGGCCAAGCAGCTCATTGCACGTGGCTGTGGCGTCTCTCTTCCCTCCGAGTTGCTGGGCACGTTGATCGAGCCGCCCTCCCTCCTCCAGTTTCAGTCTGCCCTGCACGACCTGGTAGACATCGGTGCCATTCTCCACGACCCACAGCAGCACTCCTCCATCTCGGAGGACGCAGAGACGACTCTGTTGGGTGAGTTTTGTGTCGGTGTGCCCCTTGACCTCCACCTCTGTCGCCTCGTTCTCCTCGGTATTCTCTTTGGCTGTCCAAACGATGCAGTCGTCCTGGCAGCCGGGCTCTCGATGTACCAAGACATATTCACCATGCCGACCAGAATGATAATGGACAACATGAAACAGTTCTGTGAGTCTCTCTCAAGAAGTACGTTCTCACGACTAAGTCTTGACGCTGGCTGTTACAGCAAACCCATCATGATACGTAACATGTTCATAGAGTGGCTCCGCTTTGCCGATTCGCACTGGGTTGGCAACCGTAGGGAAATGGCCACCCACTTTTCCTTCAAGTTCTCCGTGCGTGTGACGCGCCTGCTTCACTTCGAGACTTCGGTCGCTGATATTGCTCGTGCCGTGGCAAAATGGGTTCCCCCAGGCACCAGGTCTCGTCTGGAGCTTGAGACTCTGTCTTGTGTCGACAGACGGAGAGTGGCTGCCCCGATCCAGTGCAGCAACACATACTTCACCACCAAGGAGTCCACGGAATCTTCCGTACCTTCAATTTCCCTTCGCCCCAATACTCGGAGTTACGTCCCTCACCATCTGAGGAACATGGCTCGCCACCGCCATCAGAGGGCCTTGCGTCAACTCCACTTCTGCGACAACTACCACCTTTTGAAGATGCTGATCACTGCAGCTTCGCCGGGCGAGATCCTGCTCGGTGAGAGGCACTGCGATTCCTCACATCCTGACCTCAAGACCTTTGCCCGCAGGTGTGTCTCGATGGCAAAGGAGGAAGATTTTAAACCCAGTCACACTCTCTCCATGGACCTGTCGGATACTGCCTCTCTAGATCTCTGGGCGGAGCAACTCAGGGAAACAAACGAGACCACAATACGAGAACTCTACAGCAGCTTACCGCCAAAATTCCGGTTCCCAGTCAGAGTCAGGCTGGACAAAGACACCAACGCTGCGGTCGTTGACTTTAGCGAGGTGGTCGAAGCCAGTCACACTATAGCCAGGATTGCTCACAACAGTGGGTACACCCCTGGATCAACCCCAGTAAACGAATCGACAGTCCAGCTCTCAGAGCTCTCCCCTGAACTGCATGTCCTCTGGAGACTCGGGGAGTATAGGGACATGTGGGAGGTGGACGAGGTGAACGCTGTGTTTCCCATAGTCTCCCACCCAAACAAACTATTGTGGCACGTGATGGACAAAAGTAGACGACATGTCGACACTGCCCTACTCAACTTCAGGAACCCCACGGCACTTATGTGTCTGTTCAAGGAGCCAGCTTACCCGTACCTAGCTGTTGCCTCACGTTCCTTCACGAGTGACAGTCAGGTGACTATGGCTCCAGACATGACAGTTCTCCCTCCTCCGCCCCATAGCTTGGCAACGGTCCTCTCCTTCCAGCCTCCCACCTCCGTCACAGAGCTACTCATCGATAGACGGGAGGGAAAGGTGAGGGGAATGAGACTCAACCACAATGACATCCCCTGCAAGGACATAGACCGGTATCTGTCAGTGGAGACCCTCAGAGCTATTAATCGATTTCGGCTCTCCCTCTCAAATGCTCTGTCATCATCTCTCAAGGACAGGCGTATCCAACAGGCAGTACTTGAGTCCAGTGAGCTTCACCAGAGTCTGGCGGCACTACTCACCCTGTCTCCTCCCCACACTTCTACCAGTGATGAAACCGCTCCACTCCTGACACAACTTGCAGAGACAGAGGTACACTCTGGAGAGCAAACTAATCCAGTCAACCTCGTGTGGGAGAGAGTTACCCCGGGCCAGCTGGCCGGCAGTGCTGCAGAGGCAGAAGAGGGCGGGGTCTACTACCCTGCGTTGAGGTGCTCACTGGTGGGGTCCCAGCCTTACTCTGAGTCTCCTTCCCACCGTGATCAGGAGACCACTGCCACACTCTCTCCACCCGTGCAATACCAGGAGAGCCTGTCTACTAAACTCCTGCTCGAGAGGTTTGATCGAGTTGAAGACTTGTCAGATGATGATGGCGAGGTTGGTGATGATTCAAAATTCTCCGAGACTGACTGGAGAAAGAACAGAGCTGTGAAGGAGGAAGCAGAATCGAGTGACTGTGAAGAGACAGAGTCTACGACACCTGCTGAAAAGGATAGTAAAATGGATGGGGCACATGCAGAGCCCAAGTCAAGTGCAGAGGAAGTGCCGACCCAAAATATTTCATTTCCGTCACTAGTGGCAGCCAAACTGGAGCAAGAGATAGTCCGCCATCTCCAGAGGAACAACAAGATGGAGTTCCTGAGTGAGCTGAGGGTACAGAGGAGAATTAAACACATGTGTTCACTCATCAGAACCACCCTCAACATCCCGTTCTTTCTGCAGCGACCGAATGTGTTTCAGGTGAGGGAGGTCGAAGAGGGGGTAGAGGGGGCAGATGCCGCCACTGAGGGACACGAGTATCTCATTGTACTGGACCGCAGCAAGTGGAGGGAGGTGGACAGCGACGAAGAAGAGCCTGTTCTTCCTCCCTCCATGAGAATCATCAGCAGAGCAAAGAGAGCGACTGGAAACCGACCTCCTCCTCCACTGCCTACGGTGACCGAGGGAACACAAACAGAGGCGGTGTCTCGACCAAGTTCTGCCAGTGAGAGGGGACCAGAGAAAGAGGCGAAGTCCAGCCCCTCAAAACCACTGACGGCCACGAGGGCACTGAAACTCTCAGACTCAAAGGCCACGAGTACACCACTCGCTGCATGTGCTGTGGAAGACAAGAAGACTGAACTAGCAACCAAGAAACCAGAGCCTGCCAAGAAGACTGAGTCAGCAAGGAAGACAGACAGTTCCAAGGCCAGCGGCACTGCCAGAGCAGAGTCCTCTGACCAGACCAAAACTTCCTCGGTGGAGTCTGCCAAGAAGACGGTGACTGTGGTGACCAAGAAGAGAACTCCAGTCGTCGGTTCAGACGAACACCTCGCCATTTTCATATTCGACTACATCAAGAAGCGAGGGGGAGAAGTGAAACTCGCAATGCTGAGGAAGGAGACACTTCGGGACTACTACGATCGCTACCCCAACCAGCGATGGGGCGGGTACCGCTACCTACGCAAGGCATTCCTCTTGCAATACTCCGAATACTTTCACGTCTATGAAGACGGTGATAAGATCCTCCACGTGAGGATCGTGGAAGAGAAGAAGTCGGGTGTAGAGAGTAAATCCAGTAGCAGTAACAGTCCTCCAGCACTAGAGAAGAAGTCTACGAAACAGGCATCAGCAAAAGGGAGTACCGGTCCTGCAAAGAAGGCAGCAGAGAGTCAAGTTTCTGCCCAGAAAGCATCAAAAGGAGCCTCAAGTTTGGAAGCAAAGTCGGGGACAGAGAAAGGAAAGGCACCAGTGTCATTCACCGGAAAACAAGCCAAGAATGAGGAAGGGAATGGAGGAAGAGATAAAGCTGGAAAAGTTGCTGGGAAAGAAGGCGGAAAGCCAGAAACACAAGTTTTCTTTGTCCACGTGCCCGGTTCTTCTCGTCGCTCACAGGAGCCAGTCACTGTGGCTGAGGTAGAGGCTGAGGCGGTCTCTTCCAGCATCGAACCTTCTCCCTCTCACGGTCTGTCGCAGTTCAGATCAACGACCCCCACGAGAGACCAGTCCCCCCTCTCTGACACGTCACAGTCTCAGCCCTCCCTGGGTCAGGCGATGGGAGCAGTGGGCCCGGACATAGTTCTTCCTGCAGTTGTACCTGCTGCAATGGCTGCCATCACCTTCACCACAACAGGCACCGCTCCACCCACAATCCAACACCCAGCGATGGTGCCGCTAGCCCACCCCCACCCCCACCCTCTGAAGTACCAGGTGATGAGAGTAATGGGTGGAGTTGCATCATTGGGCCCTCAAACACAATCCACTGGAGGGCCTGCTGTGCAAACCACACCCACTCTGCGGCTGCCAGGCTCAACACCACCGCCTCTCCCGGTCCAGCCGGAGGACGAGGAGGTGGAAGAGGAGTGGCACAGTTCCGAGGAGTCGTGGCTCTCCGAGGAGGAATTCCAGTCTCGGCAGCAGCACGAACAGCACAGCTCACCCAGCCACCTGGCCCAATATCTCTACAATTACCTATCCACACAATCGTTCACCTTCGGCTGCCCCATCGCAGAGCTTGATGTGCAGTTCAAGAGCTACTATAGAAAGCAGTTTGGGTCAAGATTAAAAGTGACAAGGATTACCGCAGATTTTGTAAAGACCCGCCCTGATCTGTTCAAGGTGCAGGACGAGCTGCTCTTGAAGCTGCGAGATGGAGTTGATCAGAAAGAGGCAAACTCGTTCAAAGGTCGTCCCTACACTCCTGAGCACATCAACGACTACTACAGTCGGTACCTGGGCAAGGAAGGAGTGATCGTTACCATGACTGAGGCACAAGACGTGTTTGAGAGGGTCTACAAGAAGGAGCACAAGATGCCCGCCAACCCACTCATATGGTTCCTCAGCGACACCTTCTTCAAGCGGTCGTCCCATCAATTTGCTCTCTATAATGACATCGTCGTCTTCCCTGTCAGAGGGAAACACTGACACTTTTTGCACCAAAAACTTGTTGATTTGTACATATAATATAGACCTGTGACAATTGTATGCTGTATATATAGTAACTGTAGTTCTATATACATAATTTTCATTGGAGTGGGCCCAAAATTCTTTGTAGCACGGACTAGCTGGAAAAAAGTCAAGAGAGAAAGAAAGGATGGTGGTTAGGGTATGATCAGGTCTTTCACAATCTCGGTTGAGGATGGTGACACGCGAGAGAGGTGGAGAAGGAGATCTCTGAGTGTAGAACAGTTCCCGAGCCCTCTCCTGAGGCCCTCCTCCACCTCTCCTGCCCCGGGAACCAGATGGAGGGCCACGACGCGGCGAGACCTGTGCCTGGCTGCGGAGAAGAAGGTGTGGACTTGCTGGTTTTGCATCAGCTGCAGCTGCGCGTTCTCTGGAGAGAAATGGCAGCTGTGTACACACACGGTCCTGTGGGAAGAAGGGAGAGGCTGTAGGTCTACAGGCACGCACTTCGCCAGGTGGAATTTTTTTATCAGAGGCGAAAACGCTGAAAACCAAGACCGAGCACTTGCAAAGTACAGCTACCGTGACAAAAAGTATATCTAACGATGGATTACAGACCTAGGTTGAAGTTGGTTGAAAGCTACACCAGCATCGCTGAGGTCCAGATGAATAGGGACCACCCCTCGTGGTTGAAACAGGCCCATCTCCAGCTGCTCCGAGCAGACGATCTCAGGCTTAAAGGGTACATCAGGAAAGAGCCAGCAATGGTATATGAGATTGAGTTCGTTGGTGTTGTGGCAGAGAAACTTCTGACAGAGCCCTGTGGGAGGGTGGGTGTGTAGGATGATGTAGTAGTCCATCTCGGGGACCGGCGTGTCTCTGGGAAGAAGAAAGATGGGGTCGTGTGTGTGTGGAGTCAGAGAGAGCGCAGTGGGAGAATCCCCGTCCATGGAGTGAGAGGAGAGCCTCTGCTGGAACTCGGGGCTGGTGCAGGTTGTATTCTCCTCCTCGGAGCTGGGTGAGTAGCGAGGGATCTCTCTCAGGGCAGACGGGAGGACGGTGTGGAGTAGCGGAGACGGAGACCTAATGATTCCCGTCCTCATTACCTGGAGTGACGTGGGTGAGTTTGGAGGTGGCATGGGTGAGGTTGGTACACTCCCATCAGAGGTACTCCCAGCTGGCTTTGTGACGCCAGTCAGGATGGTGTAGTCATCCTCCGAGGAGTAACAGTCCTCAGACTCAGACTCCATTCTCTGGATGGAGAGTCGGTTTATGTCCGAGATTAGCTCCCCGAGGGACTCCTGCTGCTGGAGCTGAGGGGGCCCCCCTCGTTTGGGTCCATTCCCCCTGCCGGCTGTGTTCCTCGGCTTAGCAAAGACCCTCTCCTCCTGACCCATATTCTGTGCTCTCCTGAACCTCTCCAGTTCCTTCATCATCATGACGTCATGTGACTCGCTGCGGTTCCGTTTCTTCCCCAGTCCTCGACCTCTGTCGGGGGAAGGACTAGTAACCTTGGATCCAGTCCATGAAGATGGCAGGTCTCGTCCAACTATTTGCTCGTATTGTTCCTCGGGGAGTGTGGGGGGAGGGGAGGGAGAGGCGATTTTGAGTCTCTTGGTGCTGGCAATGAGGTAATCGATTGAGCTTCTTCTGTTCATTGACTCCCACCGTTTGCAAGCCAAGTGCAGCGCTTTCTTCACCACCTTTTTCGCCGTCTTCCCCAGGACATCATCCTCAAATTCCACTTCGTCCTCCTCTTCGTCTTCCTCTTCTTCTTCCTCCGTCCATTCTCCAAACTCGACCTCCTCAATCACGGTACCCTCGATCTGTATGGAGACACTCTTGAGTTGTCTGTGAGCAGAGGCTGTGACCTCCACCTCCTCACACTCCACAGAGGCCATGCTAACCACACGTGGTCGTTTTTCTTTACACGGTACAGAGAGAGAGTTGGTCATGGGGACATGTAGTGAGTTGACTAACTGATTGGTAGGACCCAGTCTGCTGATGGCGGAGCCAATCGCATATTTGACGACTTCTCTTGCGATTTCTCTGAGTTGGAGCTCTGAGGGGAGGTCGTGGTGGGAGTGGAGGGTGGAGATGATCCTCTGGGAGAGGAGATGGCGGGGAGAGGGGGGAGGGGGGCCCGTGAAGGACCCCCTCAGGTGCCCCAGCCCCAGGGAATCCAGGATCTCCGGAGGCAGTTTCTCCAGATACCTACAACACACACAGCAAGACAGTAGAGGTGTGATTACTGCATCAGACTATACATCATATAGCAAAAGAAGATGACTATGTTTCAGCTGTCTTCATCATGGTTCTAGTTACAACCCAGAGTAGTGAGGTGTTTCAAGGAGCCCAGTCTTACCTTGGAGTTGGTGGAAGAGAGAGCAGAGTCATTGGCAGTGCAAGGCTATAGTCCATGCCATACACACCTGTGCCACAAAAGACTGAACATTAATACGGTTTTTGGCTGATGAGGTTAAGGAACACAGAGCTCATGCTGCACTGAATGCCTGCAGTGCCAGCAGATATAGCTACATCTCCAAATAGGTCAATTATAATAGTATGCTGGGCTGGACGCCAAAATACAACTCCCATCCAGATGCACGTTATGCTCACATGCATGCATGCAGGTGTGTGCACAGACGACATGCTTCCAATAATTTTTTTAGCCCTACACAAAGAGATTAGACGTAGTTAGCGATGCACGTAACGTTAGTGGAGCTGTAGCTGCTGTATGATAACACACCTATGTGGGGTATGCGGTGGTAGCCAAAGCTGTGGGTTGCGGCGAATTCGTCCCGTCTTCGCAAGGAGAGTATGAATGCATCGGTCTCGTACGTCCCTAGTACCACCGCATCCTTCTGCAGCGACAGAGGGTCGCACGTCGGTTCTCGCCTGTCCATCTACCCGGTCTGCAAACACCCAGGCCCTCTCTCCGCCGGGCCAGCTAGCTCCCTCCCTGGTGGTTGTCTCGCGGATGCTGCTGAGTAAGCATAGGGGGCGGAGCTTGTTTGGGTATACGGAATAATTTACGGGAGTGTCACTGAACCCACGTGTACTGTAGCGAGGAGATGGTGGGTAAGAAAAGGCGAAGCGGTGCTGCCCTTGCGTATAATTCGCCGAGAAAGAAGCTCAAATTGTCATCAAACAACCGCACTCAGTCCGTCGTACAAAAGTAAGCTGAATTAGTGCACGCGGACGCAGTTTTGGCCATCTTTCTTTGCGCGTTCTCAGCAGAGACGCAGTTGGCGTAAGAAGTGGAGAAAGAGGGAGAGAAGAAGAAGACTTTCCCCGAGGTGGTCATGGCGTACTGACTGCACTGGAAAAGAAAGTGATCAGAGAGCAGGCCACCCAAGACACTCTCTTCAATGAAGTGAGACCCATCTGTAATTTCTTACACCTTTTCTTGCCTCTAGCTACCTGCCATGTCCATTTCCCCTGTAGAGAGGAGCCGAGAGAGATGCACCTGAGGAGAATGAGCACACCGTAAAGTCGAAGAAGAGAAAGTCAGCAGCTGCCACGACAACAGGTTCACAGGGGTCACGGAAACGAGTTGACACCCTCTCACCCAAGGTACAATATAAGAGTTGGTATCTACCAAAGATACATGTAGACTGGTGTTACCACAGAGTCTGGTGGCAGGGGTGCTGGTCCTTGGGGCAGTTCAAGAGATCAGAGATTTCGACGTCTCTGTCTCGCTGCCTGGTAACATGTGTGGGACTGTCACCATCGGCAACGTATCCGACCTGTTGACAAAGGAAGTCCTGGACGATATGGTGGAGAAAGAGGAGACGGAGGATGAGGAGAATAAGGTGAGAGAGGTCGGATGGTTATGCTCAACCTGTTCTACTGGAATGTTCATTGGTTTGCCCAAGTGTCACATGGTCACACTGAATCTGTTGGGCATTTTGGGTTTCATGTTAAAACGAGTGAAGTATTCCATTGCTGTATTGAGTGGCCCACTCTTTTCCTGTGTGTGCAGGTGTGTCCATTGCCGGCATTGCGACGAGTGTTCTTCCCTGGACAACTGGTGGTGTGCTGTGTTCTGGGGGAGGGGGAGGGAGGGGAGGGGAGGAGGAAGGGTTCACGGGGAGTTCATCTCACCGTGAACCCTCACATCGTCAACAGCCACCTCTCATCTCGCGACATTGTGGAGGGAATGGTTAGCTTCCATGTCTGTATACTGTGTATCCTCTTTCTACCCCCCACCACATCCCTTCGTCTCTGTTCCACTGGTCATCTCCAGGTACTGTCAGGCTGGGTCAAAAGTCTCGAAGACCACGGCTACATCGTTGATTTTGGTGTGGCAAACAAAGTGGGGTTCCTACTCAAGAAGAACGCCAAAGAGTTTGTGAAGACATGCTGCAGAGGGCGGAAGTTGAGGTGTGGGCAGGTGGTGAGGTGCAAAGTCCTCTCGGATGTCGACACAAGATCCGTCCCCGTCTCCGTGGAGCCGGGTGTGGTGGGCGGGGCATTGGTGGGTGGAGACTCGCTGGTACAGTTGCATGCTCTTCAGCCGGGACTACTGGTCAATACGGCTATGAAAGAAGTGAGAAAATGATGGAAAGTAAGAGTGTGGCTGAAGTGATGTGTGTTTTGGTGTGTGCCTCAGGTGGCATTAAATGGAGTGGTAGTGACGTTTCTCGGAGGGTTTGAAGGGTCTGTAGGACTCCGCCACCTCCCCTCCTTCAACTCTCCGCCCGAGTCTCTCCCGCCCAAGAAGAAGGTGAAAGGTCGTCTGCTGTGGGTGGATGTGGAGAGGAAGAAGATTGGAGTGACTCTGCAGAGGGCGCTGGTGGAGGGGCGGAGCTTCACCTTCCAGGGGGTGGAGTTTGGTGACGTGTTTGAAGGTGAGAGGGATGTGCGTAGCTAGCAGTATGAGATGTGTAGTGTTAACTATCACACTGTTTCCACAGACTCTGAGATCATCAAAGTGTTCCCTGACTCCGCCCTCCTCCTGAGATTGACCTCTGACCTCACGGGGTTTGCTCCTCTGCCCATGGTCTATGACGAGAGACGAGATAAACTGGACAAGAAGCACCAACTGGGGACCCGCCACCATTGCCGGGTGATCCAGTTTAACCTGATTGACGGGACGGCCATTGTCAGCCTCCAGCCCTCCATCCTCTCTCAACGTTACCTCAGATATAGTGACATATCAGCCGGAGACCTGCTAGACGCCACGGTCCAGCGACACGGAGGTTTCGGGATGATCCTGACAATCCAGGGGAACATTAGAGGACTGTGTCCCTCCACCCACATCTCTGATAGGGTCCTCAGAGACCCCCAGAGGAAGCTGCAGCCGGGGAAGACGGTCAAATGTCGCGTGCTCCACGTGGCGGCTGAAGAGAAGAGGGTTCTGCTGACCTGTAAGAAGAGCCTGTTGCAACTGACGGATGAGGAGATCTTGTCTGAATACACCCAGGCAGTGGCGGGACGGGTGTTTAAGGGGGTGGTGAGTCAAATCAGCAATCACGGATTCACTGTGTTCTTCTTCAACAACGTGATGGGCTACGTACCGAAGTCCGAGATGGTGGGGGAGGGTGGTGGGAGGTTCCCGATCCCGTCGACTGTGGTGCGACCGGGACAGGTGGTCGAGTGTCGAGTGCTCACCTGTGAGCCTGGGACAAAGAGACTGCGACTGTCTCAGCGGCTGGACAGCGAGGCTACACCGGACGTGGCTCCAGAGGACCAGCTGAGACCAGGGATGAGGGTGAGGGGAGAGGTGGCTGGTGTGGCGGCAGACGGCGTCACTCTCCGCTGCAGAGAGAACGGGGAGTTTGGGTTTCTTCCGGTCACACATCTATCCGACTACCCCTCCCTGTGTGCCGGGAAACTGAGTCAACATCAGCAGTCACTGGCGGCAGCTGTCAGAGAGGGTATTTACACACTTTCTTTTCACTGAAATCTAGTTCACATGCAAACCAGCAATTTGTAGTTTACTACAGACTACGCAGCTGAGCTATCAAGTTATGTGTGCAACACTTTCCTCCCCCTTCATCTATTTATACTGACAGGTGGGTGTTATGAGCTAGATGATGTGGTGGTGGTGTGTGGGAGGCAGTCCACCAGACCAGCTCTCCTCTCTCTCAAACCTTCCCTCATCCAGTCCCTGGCTCACGGCTGGGTGGAAAACCACTCCCAACTCAAGGTGACAGAACAATCTCTTCTTCTCTTTATCTGTCTGCTTACTAACTAGAGCTCCCATTTTCCATCCTGACCCTTGTCTCACTTCAAAGTGTGTTGTGTTTGTGATACCATCTTTATTTCTTTCTTCTTCTCTAGCTGTCTCCCCATTTTCATTCCACTCCGTTAAGTAAATGTATGGATGGAGTCATTCTTATCTGCTCACTAAAGTACTTCCTTTTGCTCCGCTGCAGTGTGACCAGCTGCTAACTGGTTTCATAAGGAAGGTGATGTCATACGGCTGCTTTGTGGAGTTCCCTCACAACCTGTCGGCTCTAGCCCCCACCAAATACCTCCAGGACCAGTTCACCTCTGACCCCTCTCTCGTCTACAGCGAGGGGCAGACCGTCTTCGCCAAGGTGAGGGGTCTGATCACGTGATCATCATGTGATGCTATTTTCAAGTCATGTGATCCTTGTGTGACAGGTTCTGGAGGTGAGCGAGGACAAGAAGAGGTTTCTGGTGAGTCTGAAGCCCTCAGATGTCCGTCAGGGGAGCGGGTGTGAGGGAGAAAGGGAAGAGGAGAGGAGGAGGAGACTAGGTGAAAGACTGGAGGGATTCTTGGCAGAGAGACAAGCACTCATGGCTTCCAGTCGTACCCTCTCTCCTGGCACTGTCATCAGTGGGAAGGTCAGCCTTCGTTGTGCTTTAAGTGCTCAATTCTCAAAGAGCAAAAATGTCCTTGGCAGTTTGGAAGTTTCACAGAAAAGACATTTCTTAGATTTCTGTGGATAATCCGATGTACCTATATTTTCTGTCTGTGTTAAGGTGATGTCAGTTGAGGAGGGAGAAGTGAAGGTGGAATTGAAAGAAGGACTGCTAGGAAAAGCCACCACCCACACTGCTACTGGTGAGTATATAGTGTAGTCCATGGTCGAGAAGAAATTGAGGATTTTGTTGGTAGCCCATTCATACTGATTGGTGATAATCTTTTGCTCCTTGGATTTTGGTGTGTTCGTATCACAATCTTATGTGTGTGTGTTGCAGGTGTGGAGGTGAAGGTTGGGAAGGAGGTGGAATGTGCTGTACTGGAGGTGGAAGATGATGTGGTGAGAGTCAGTCTAAACCCAGCAGTGGTGGAGGCCTGCCGGAAAAGAAGAGAGGGAGAGGATGGGAGGAAAGAGGTATCAGAAGAAGGGAGGAGAAAGAGTTCAGGAGACCCAGAGACTGATGTGAGTAGAATGTTGCCTGTTGGTTTTCAGTATGAGACGGCCTTCCTTCCCCAGTTGCAGGCTGGTCAGTCTCTGGTAGCTACAGTAGAACTGATGGCACCGCACTACCTTCTGGTGGCCCTGAACACACTCTCTGGGGCTGTACTGGCATATGCTGCCACTGACTCCGTGAGTGAAGGTTCCACACCTCAGCCAAGCCTCTCTCTCTGCCCTCTCTATCTCGTCTCTCTAGGGACAGCTGGAAGTTCTCAAGGCCTCGTACAATCACATCAGAATTGGCCAGAAGGTCAACACTGCTGTACACAGGTATTGCATGCGTAAGCAGTTTTATAATGAGGTAAGCATGATGTCATCATTCTCCACCAGTCCCGCATCTGAGTTGTCTGGTGAGAGGAGTGGTCCGCCAATCGTCGTGGTGACAGGTACCCGAGTCAGGAATTCCAAGGAGCCACGAGGAGCACATTCCAAACCTTCCTACATGAGCGTACAAACTGGCGACATCATCAACGTCATGTGAGACAACATACAATCTGATTGGTTTATTGAACGACGTGTCTCTCCCAGTGTGAAAGGGGTTAAGACGGCGTTCCTGAGCGTAAAGTACCACCTCTGGCAGGGAAGGGTCCACTGTTGCCTGGCAACTGACAATCCACGTCAGGGCCACACCCCCTTTGCAGAGGTTCATCCTGGAGATGTTATCAAGGCACGTGTGGTGGGGATAAGAAAGAAAGAGATTAAACGGTAAGAGATGAACCTGAGGCTACTGCAATACCTAACTGATGTTTCCCATGGTTGCCATCATTATCAGTGCTATACTACTAGCAATGTGTGCATGCATGAGTAACGTTTCACAATAAGACCAGAAATGTGATAATTTCGTGGCTTGTTGTTTGTTACAGTCTGGGCAGCAAGAAAGGAGCAGCCATAACTACACTGGAGCTGACAACCAAAGAGAGGTGAGCAGTCCAGTTCAGTTCAGACCCACGGTGAGTGGTAGCTGGCCCCCTCTTCCTCAGTCTCCTGGACCCAGCAGTAGAACTGAAGACGGCAGAGCTGCTGAGGAGCAAGTTCAGCCAGGGATCAGAGCTGGTTGGATTTGTACACGAGGTTAAGTCTCTTTTTCTGATTTCACATCTTTGCTTTTCTCTCTCTCTCTTCACCCTCTTTTTAATATTGAGGCACTCTCAAATGCTTTCTCCCAAAAGCCAAATCTCCTATTATGTTGTATTGGGACTCGTTCTAGTACTGTCTCTCCCTCCCTGTATCTGGTCTCTGTTGTCCAGGTTGACGAGAGAGGACTATTTGTACACCTTTCACCCAAGACACAAGGCCACGTGCCACTGATGTTGGCTCACCATGACCTCTCAGTATGTGTAGGATTACTATACAACAGGCAGTTGAGTCTTTGGAGTTTTGTAGAACTGATGAGCACGTTGTTTAGCTGTCCAACTTTTAATTTAAGTGTTGTCTGTTCACTAGCGTTTGCTGATGTGTGTCACGTGATTATCATGTGATCCTCAGGTGCTCCGGAACCTGCGGCGCCACTTTGCAGAGGGAGAGGCAGTGAAATGTGCAGTCGTCAGTGGTAGCAAGAAAAGTCAACCAGTTCTCTCTCTCATCGGTGAGCCTCTTACTCCGAGGTAACCCCACTTTACTCCAGGTTAACCCCCAATTTACTCCTGGGGTAGGTCACGTGAGTACTCCGACTGTGGGCTCCGCCGTGGAGTGCCTGGTGAGCGAGACCACGCCCCTCGGTCTCATCGTCTCCGTTCCCTGGTGGGCGGGGTTTGGTCGTGTCGACATCACAGACGTGGCAGACGAGTACACGGAGGATCCACTGGAGGTGTTCCGGGAGATGAGGGAGGGTGTGAGGTGTTGTGTGGTGAGGGTGTGTGGGGACCAGATGGACCTCTCCCTTCGTCCCTCTCGTGTCTCAGCCCACCCAGTGGGGGATTCCCCTGACAGAGAGATTACATCACTGGAGGAGCTGCCTGAAGGCTCCATTGTCAGGGGGTATGTGAAGGCAGTGACAGCTGTTGGAGTCTTTGTCAGGTGAGCTGGTGAACTGGTGAACTCCAGTCAAAACTTGAAATCCCACATCCCTGATGGATAGAGTATAAATTTTTCTCTTTATTAGTTATCTTCGCTGTGGATTTCATGGTTTCCCCCACCACTCTGCCCTAGACTGTTTGTCTACCTCTCTCTCTCTCTCTCTCTCTCACTCTCACTCTTCCTGACAGACTGGGAAGAAGGTTAGATGGAAGAGTGCAGATCAGACATTTGGCCGATGGGTTTGTCAAAAACTTTAAAGAGAAGTTCACCGTGGGACAACTTGTCAAGGCCAAAGTTCTGTCGTAAGTGGATGACGTGGCATTTCTCCAGTAATCTGAGGAATTAAGGTCTTATCACACTTATCGTAGGGACACAGGGTAATCAAGGGAGGGGAGGTGCTTTTTTGTTGCTGCATGGAAAGGAGGTGTCTTTGTTGCAATTTGAGTAAAGAGGGTCTTTCACTGCTGTGTGTGGGCGGGCATACCTTCTTTCATTGTCGGCAGTTATTTGAAGATCTGTAGCTGGATTTACCATTTTTCAGGATCAATAGCTGGGCTGGTCTTTCTATTGATGTTCGTAATGAGGAGGCAATTGATATTGATCCCTGGTGGTTTATCCCACGTACACCAACATAACTGTGTGTGCAGTGTAAGCATCCACTGCTGATGGTAGTGAAAGACCTATATATATAGCAGGGTGGTTGGTGATGTTGGAACCCCTCACTCCCAGGGTGGATGTGTCAAAGTCTCAGATAGAGCTGTCACTGCGTCTCTCACACACTGACCCGGCAGCTGCCAAGAGAGAGAGGAGGAGGGCCGACAAGGAGCGGGCGAGGAGGGAGGAGGAGGAGAGGAAGATGGACAGCGATGGTGGGAGTCCTGACAGCTATAGGTAGGAGAGGGAAGAGCTCTCTTACTAGAGGATACATAATTATACGATTCTCGTTTTGAGGACACTCAGATATAGTTGCCCTGAGTCTCCAGCTCCTTATTTTACAAAAATTGTCGCTGTAAGTAAAACTTCTTTTTTTTAGTTCAGACGAGGAGGAAGAACAAGATGAGGGAGATGAGGAAGGGGAGAGTGAAGAGGGAGAAGAGGAGGCAAAGCCAACGTTGCAGTTGTCAGGGTGTGACGGCTTCGTGTGGGAGAGAGGAGACAAGGAGGAGGAGAGAGATGGGTCAGGTCACAATGAGGAAGAGGAAGAGGCCGAGAAGGAGGTGGGGGTGTAACTGGACATTAAGAATCTGGCCAACGCTGTCTATTTCAGGTCGTGTCATCGAAGAAGTCCAGAAGGCAAAAGAAAGCAGCTCTGAAGGCCGAGGAAGACCAGCTGTACCAGGTCACAGACCCTCCTTGTTTACCCTATAGCTTACAGGGAGAGCAAATTAACATTTTCACAAATAGCTTGTTTCTTGATCTGCACAAAACTAATTGTCCCCATCTATTCTCACTCTTGCGAATTTCCACCTGTGTAACACTGTTTTGTACCTCACGGCATTATTCTGTTCTTCCCCTCCTCTTCCCTCTCTCTCTCTCCCCGTAGGCGGAGAGAGCTCAGCTGGAGGAGACCAGAGCTCCAGAGAATGTGGAAGACTACGAGAGACTTCTCCTGTCTCGACCCAACAGCTCTGCCCTCTGGGTCCAGTACATGGCCTTCCTCTTGCAGACGGCTGAGGTGGACAAAGCCAGGGCGGTGGGGCAGAAAGCCCTGCAGAGCATATCCTTCAGGTTAGGAGTCTGCGCTGCCAATAGTGTTGCGTTCTTGCTAATTCGTGTTGAGCTGCCAAATGTGTTGAATTGGTGTTGGAAAAGTGTTTACTTATAGACCAATTTTGCCAGTAGAGGTGTGTGGTGTATGCATACCAACACACCTCTCTTACTTACTGTCTGTCTTTGATATGGGCTCATAATAAGAGATGAGCATTCCTCGCCCTCCCCTAGAGAGGAAGAAGAGAAGTTGAACGTGTGGGTGGCTCTGCTGAACCTGGAGAACCTGTATGGGTCTCAGGAGTCCCTAATGACCATCTTCCAGTCGGCTCTCCAACAGAACGAGCCACTGGACGTGTACCGCAGACTGACCTCCATCTACCAGGACTCCAACAAGACAAACGTTAGCCCTCTCTCTCTCTGCTCTAAATGTCTACTGTTACAAATAGTATTGTGTTATAGCTGGCCGAGCAGCTGTACCAGACGATGACTCGGCAGTTTCGCTCTGAGCTGTCAGTGTGGACAGAGTTTGGTCAGTTCCTGATGAGGAGAGGGAAGCTGGAGGCAGCTCGACGTCTCCTGCAACGCTGTCTCAAGACACTCCCTCTCAAACAGCAGCGTAAGTACCCACCTGCCACCGTATCAGCCTCTATCCCTCCCTCCCTCCTCACACTGAAACACACACACACACACACACACACACACCGTGTGCCGTAGATGTGGAAGCCATCTCGAAGTTTGCTCAGTGCGAGTTCAGATACGGAGACGCTGGCAGAGGAGGGACCATGTTTGAGAGTCTGGTGACCAGCTATCCTCGCAGAACTGACATGTGGTCTGTGTATGTTGACATGCTGGTCAAGTCGAAACAGACCAGTCAGGCCAGGTTTGTGGGACAGGCCTCTCTCAGTAGGAATGGCTCTAGATCCTGGGGCACTGTATGCTGAGGCCTTTGGCCACATGATGTGCTCTTGTTTGTAGTATTATTTACTGAGACTCTCAATTGTCTCTTTTTTAGAGAGGTGTTGGAGCGAGCAGTTCACCTGAAGCTGTCGGCTAAGAAGATGAAGCTGATGTTCAAGCGCTACCTGGAGTTCGAGAGACAGTATGGGTCTCCAGCTGGTGTGGAGGCAGTCAAGGACAAAGCTAGAACTTATGTTGAAACCAAACTGGCCCAGCAGGGACCGTCGTAGTGAAGGTGTTTGTGCGTATGACTAACTGCGCATGCTCGGTTACCACGCACGCGGCGCGCGCGGGAATGCACACGTCGTCGATCGCGGCGCGCGCGCGCATGATGATGCGCATGTCCGATCCCACGTGGCCAAATCTCTGTGGTGTGTGTGTGGTGGAGCGTGTGTGCGTAGCGCGTGAAAGCAGGCGCAGCCAGAGTTATAAAAGGACGAGCTGCAGCTGAAGGACTCGACTTGGTAAGCTATGCTGGAAGACTGCGATACTTGCCAGCTGCACCTTAGCAGGTGCACTGGGAGCGGGACGTGGCGGTAAACATTCTCCCCGTGTAGGTGCGAATTTGAAATTGTTTTTTGCAGGGATGTTCGGCGTCCGGGGGAGAAGACGACCGATTGCGTTCCCGCCGGCCGTTGGACGTGGACCTGCAGAAGGAGGCCAGATGCCGTTGCCGAGGACGACCGCCGCCGTGCCGGAGCTGATAATGGCGCGCGTGACAGTGGTGATGGACCCCACTTCTTTCTGGGCGCAAGTCGGAAAAGGTAGGCGTTCTGCGCCTACTTACGTGTGTGTGCGCATGTACAGCCAGTACGTGTGGAGCAGGAACTTGCACCTGCTTAACACGTCCCTTGGTTGTGCAAACTTGTTCAGGTTGAGCGTTGGGTGTGACTGCAAGCATCTTACTGCGCTGCTGCAACCCTCTCTTTCACGCAGGGGCTCTGCGCTGCTGCAACCCTCTCTTTCACGGCAGGGGCTCTGCGCTGCCGCAACCCTCTCTTTCACGGCAGGGGCTCTGCGCTGCTGCAACCCTCTCTTTCACGGCAGGGGGCTCAGTGAACCCTCCTCTGCAACATGAGCTCTTGAAAATCTCACTCAGGAATTAATGCTTGGAGAAATTTCTGCCATAGCAGGTCAATCTCCCCAACTTCAGCTTCAAACACTCACTGAGTATTAAGTTTGAAAGTAACTGTACACATGGTGGGCCTTTCATGAGGATAGCTATATGGTGGTCAGAGTCAGACATCATGTTTTTTTCCTGGATCTCCATTATGTCTCTGCCACCTCACCTTTCTTCCTGCATGTGGTGTGGTCCCAGTTGAGAGAGGGAAGTAGAACATGACTGGCAGTAACAGTAATTAGCATCTACCGAACAGTGTCCTCAACCTGATTATGGCGTGTACTCTTCGCGGCTTTTTAAATTTTATTAAGGGGTAACTATAAGGTGTTTAATCATATTTTGTGGCATCTATTTCGAAGCTGATGAGAGAGCATTCATTGTTGGCTCACAAGTTGTTATCCGCACAGCCTGCAATTAGATAAATATCACATGAGCGTCAGCTCATTTGACTACCTCAAGTGTCAGTCCTGTCACCGTACCGGTGTGTGGGTCATTATGTGACGAGCACCTTGGGACACCTGACATCTGGCGCGGAGTAGGTGGTTTCGAGGACGAAGCTTCCTTCGTTTTTATTGTCATATTCTTCTTGAAGTTCTCGGTGCAGTACAGAACTCACATTCCCTTTCTTGATATGTTCCATTGTGACGACCCCAGTACTTTGGGGGCGGGGCCAAAGTGGACGACCACGTGGAGCTTGCCTCAGGCGTGTGAGGAGCCGCAAGGCTGTGGTGTCCTCTTCCCTGGCTGTGGAGGCCACTGGTATGATGAGAGGAGATAAGGCAATCACCTACCTGAGGTGTCTGTAGTGGGGGTTTTGGTTGATCTGTTGGGGTCAATTGGGGTGGAGTTTCGTTCTCACTCTCAGTTGTGGGTGGACTCTAGTTAAATTGGAGCTTAACCCAGGGACTTATAAGGTCCTGACGTGAGCCAATATTTGCTCTCTCATCCTTCGAGCTCCATTGCCCTAGCCTTCCATTTGTGCCACCTTGAATGTGGTGGAGTTGGGCTATATAGGGCTCGTTCTTTGGATGCTTTCTTCCAATGGTGGAGTTTATTACATTTTAAAAAAGCTTACTCGTGTGGGGTACAGATCATCAGTTAATGCCACTTCCGGCACCCACCTTTGAACTATATAATTGTTCTGTTGTAATCGACACACACACGTAGTGGGGGGTTTCTTGTTCCCCAGAGGAGACGCTGGCAGAGTTCGACCAGACGATGGCTGCTCTCAGCAGGTGGTGCGAGGAGAACGGAACCAGAGCCACCTCTCTGCCCCTGGTTAACGAGCTCGTGTGTGTGAAGGGGGCGGGGTCTGGGGAGTGGCTGAGAGCCAGGGTGTCCAGACAGGTTTCTGAGAGGTATATACTTTTATTACACTAACATCTACAGAATTGGAAAAATTTAGGAGAATGACTGTAGAGTTCATCAGTCACCCTAGACAATGCTATTGCTGTGTTTGGTGTGGCACTGGTGGACGGACTGGTCTGGTCTGGTCTGTTTTCTGCAGTGTGATTGAAGTGCTGTATGTGGACACCGGTGCCTCCAGAAGAGTGCCTCTCTCCAATGTCTGCAGGTCCGTGGCACCGCAGCTCTGCACAGTGCCTTGTCAAGCTCTACAGTGCTCCCTGTCTGGGGCACAGCCGGTCAGTCTCCGGTTCCTATGACATCGTTCTGTGGACCGATGACATCACCCTCTCGCAGGTTGGAGCCGGGGAGGTGTGGTCAGATGAAGCCATAGCGAGGTTCTCTGACCTGGTGACTGGAGTACCAGTGAAGGCGGACATCGTAAGTGCACAGGCAATGGGACTCGTCTTACAACTCCATGTCAGGTATATTATGAGTACCCTCTCATCTACTGTATTCTGTCTTGTTGAGTGGGTCACTTTGAATGTTGGCAGGAGAGGTGAGGAGTGGACGGATGTGCTTGGTCTACTGGTCTCTGAGGGTTTTGCTGTTGATGAGGTGTGTCTTTAGTTTCCTCTGTCTGTCGCTATGAGTGTGTTGGTCCTGCTGGTCTCTCTGTCTGTCGCTGTTGGTCCTGCGCTATCGCTTGTCTCTCTGCGTGTAGTTTGCTGAACACAGAGTTACGTCTGAGCCCGTGTCCTCTGTCGCGAATCTCGAGGAAGAAAAAGCGGGCGACGAGGAAGATGATCGTGGCAGCTGTACATATCCTGCTGCAGAAGTTGAGCTGCAAGAAAAAGTGGTTGGGTTGGCAGTGGAAGGTGAAGAAGGCACGGTTGGTTTAGCAATGGAGAGCGGTGGGACTGAGGAGGTGACGGTGGGCGATGAGGAAGAGGAGAGAGTGGCTGGTATACAGGAAGAAATTTCGATGGCCCAAACTGTGGAGCTAGTGACCAGCAAAGGTGAGGTTGGTAAGTATTTCTTCTGCGTCTGTTCTACTGTCCTGTGATGTAGGACCGCTGGTAGTGAAAGGTATGGTGGAGCAGGAGGAAGAAGGGGAGGAGGAGAGGGACGGGGAGAGTACCTCACCTGCTGCTAGTGATGACGACGAATGGGACGATTCTCTCTTGGACCAGTCGCTAGACCCTCTTAGGTGAGACCAACTGCTCACAACACTGCACACACACACAATATTGTAGAGGAGGAAACCTTATGGTGGTAAAACTGTATTTAGTGATAAGTATTGACCTCAAACGAGAAAAAAAATCTGGACAAATTTGCGTATCAATCAGTTTTAGTCTTGAAGAAGATGCCACTCTTTACGCTGCAGAGATTCTACAGAAGACCCGTTTACATTGGATCCATTTGCTCCACCGGAGCCCGATAGGCAGAGACACACGAAACTGATGGCCCACTTTACTGCTTTAGTTGGAGCTGCCAACGAAGTGTGTGGTGGAGGAGGGAGAGGTAGAGGGGAGTGGGGAAGAGGAGAGAGGAGGGGGAGGGGAAGAGGAGGAAGGAGGGGAGGAGGGAGAAGAGGAGGCCTGCATCACCATCAGTCTCAGCAGGGAGGCGGGCGACAGGGTGTGGAGTGGAGGTGGAGAGAGCAAGGAAGAGGCGTTCGACAGAAGAGGGGAGCTGGAAGGACCAACCATAGGTAAGTCTGGAAGTACTCTCCTATGTTTAAGATACCTACAACAGGTCAAGTCATGAGGAAGAAAACGAAGGCTCACAAGGGCCTCAGGAGCCAATGTCGTCGTCTCCTGGAGGTATGAGAGGTGTCAGGGTGTTTGCTAAAGAGAGCAGGGAAACTGAAAGAGAAACCAATCAGAAAACAGCTCCACCGAAACCGACGGAGAGACCGTTGGCTCTAAGCCCCGTCCCTCCGTCCACTCGACCTGTGCAACTGTTCCCCAAAGAGGGTGTGGCCAAGACACTCGGCACCGCCCGGCCCCCGCAGGCAGGGGGAGAACCGACGGAGGGAGGAAGAGGCATTCGTGAGATGAACAGAGACACTGCCAGTAAGGAGGTGGAATGGCACTACTGGAAACTAGGGAACCACATGGAAAAGGTTTGAATCCCAATGACTCGTGCACTGTGGCTGAATAAATTATGTCTTCTCACGCTCAGGTTTTGGCAGAACTTGCACCTGAAAATGCGGAGAGTTTCGGAAATGAAGTACAGTCAATTCTCTCTGGTGAGCTGTGTTGTCACTGTGGTACCCTGCTCCATTTCACCGACTCCTCCCCTCAGCTCATAGTTCTGCCCAGAAGTTGATGTCCATCCCGGGATCTCTCGGCCCTGTCTGGCCGGTTCTCAACTGTGTTCTGAAAGAAGGGGCGAAGAGGAAAGACGACACGCAGAAGACGGTCGTAGTGGCCGTGAGGTCGCTGGCTGCCGTGTTGTGTGTGGACGTGTGCCAACTGCTCCAGCCAGCCGTGAACGAAATGGCTGAAGACGTGTGCCGGGTATGCCACATTCACTTACCATATTCCTCATCACAAACTCTCTCTCTCTCTCCCGTTCTACTCCAACAGCCCTCTTTCACAGACCAGTCAAAACAGGCCAAACGCATGTTCTGTGGTTTCATCGGGAAGCTATTCCTAGATGCCGGCTATTCTGTGAATAACGAGTGAGTTTTGTGCATTTCAACAAACCATCAAATCATGCTCCACCGCTTCAGCTATGCCATGGCCGTGGGGAAGATTGTGAGGGGTTTTCTCAATACGTGGTCCAAATGTCCAGAGAAGGTAAGTTAAGTTAATACCTAACCTAGTGTCAGCTGCTCTCTGTCTCTTTCATGGTTGCCAGAAAAACGAGGGGCAGTTGTTGGCAGAGGTGCAGTGCTTCGGGCAGCTCTGTCGGCAAATTGGACCCACACTTGACGTGACTAACCGGTATATGCCTTGCTCATGAACAAGGTCCAAATGGAATCGATTGTGATCTAATACTGACTGCAGAGAGACGCTGGAACAGTATTTCAATGGCATTGTCAAGAAAAATATTCTGACTATCCAACTCGCGGAGTGAGTTTCTGTTCATCTCATCTCCTCAGTCTCTCTATCCCTCTGTCGTCTCTCAGGTCTGTGCGAAGCTGCCTGCTGGACCTGGCTCTAGAGAGAGCAGCCGGCTGGAGGAATGAGGAGGAGGAAGAGCGAGGATGTAAAGTCCGACCTTATGCGCAGTCCACCCCCACCCCAGCTGCCTTCTCTCAAGACACACCCACCCACTCGGTCAACGGGCAGCGAGTGATCCAGCCTGTCCCAGTCAGCTCCGCTGGGAAGGCCCCTACCACTCCATCAACACCAGCTACCCATCATCTGCAGCAGATCTCCCATCAGTCACCAGCCACTCCGTACACCCAGCCACACCCCAGCATGCTGTCTTCAAGCTCGCTCTCCCTGCTCCACTCCTCCCACAACCTCCCTCAGTCACAGACATCTCTCCCCCCTACCAGTGGTACCCCCACTCCGTTTCAGGCTGGTCTGCACCACCATGTTACTCTACCTCCACTAACTGCCAACCAGCAGGCAAACAGTGAGCATTATTTATTACTCCTTACTCTACCTCCACTAACTGCCAACCAGCAGGCAAACAGTGAGCATTATTTATTACTCCTTACTCTACCTCCACTAACTGCACCAGCGCAACATGCATTTTATCTACTTACTCTATGCCCCGACGAGGCAAGGAGTTATTTATACTCCTACCTGTTCTCTTGTATATACTGCGTTGCTTTATCTCACCTTCTTTCTATCTCACTGTGTTTCTATCTCGCCCTCTTTCGCTCAACTTGCTCTTTTTGTCTCTCTCTCTCCTATATATACATCTCCAATACACTAACTTTCTCAGACGTACACGTGGAAGCTTCCTTCACAGAGGTGGAAACAATGCTGCATGTGCTTGGTCTCCGTCACCTCACAGACTGCTTCAAGAATGCCATGTTCAATGTAGGTTGCGGGGAGGTCACATGACACTCGCATGATGTTAGTGTGATTCTCTCCCGTGCAGGACTCACTGATCAATGTGGGGAACATGGAATTTCTCCGAAGTGGGCTGAAAGATGCGGGGCTCCACCCGGGAGAGGTGGTTGCAGTTCTTGACTATCTGGAGAGAAGACAGAGGCCACGCCAAACAACCGAACCTCCGAGTCCCCCCTCTCCACACTCCTCCTCGACTTCTTCCGGTGCCCCCCATGATCAGCACCCCTCCGTTTCACGCCACCATTCTCTACCTAACCACTCTGGTGGGACCGTCCACACACAACAGCAGTTTCCAATCTCTCGCCAGAGCTCCTACCCTGACATTCATCCTTACAGTCCCTCTGGCCTGCCAAACACTCCCCACTACTCTCCCAGCAACCCTCAGCCTCAGTCGTTCTGTCATAGCAACCCTCAGCTTCAGCCGTTCGGTCCTAGCAACCCTCAGCCTCAGTCATACGGTCCTAACAACCCTCAGCCTCAGTCGTTTGGTCCTAGCAACCCTCAGTCTCAGTCGTTTGGTCCTAGCAACCCTCAGCCTCAGTCGTTCAGACCTCAAAGTTGCACACCTCAGTCACCTGCTGCATCTGTGTCCTTCCCTCATCAGAGTTCTCACATCCACTACCCCCATGTTCCTGTAGACAGCTACGACCTGGCAGCAGTTCCCCAGCAGAGCTACCGTCCGCCCAGCAACTACCCCTCTACTCCGCGTCCCTTCCCTCCCTCACTCCAACTCCACACCCTTCTTCCCTTCCCACTCAGTCGTCATTTCCCCCTCCATCAGGTAAGACACACCTCATTTGTACCATAAACTCCTCTCTTTTCTCTTCCTCCCCAGCCCGCGGGTATTCTCAGAATGAGCCTCCCTCCTCCCCGGCCCTCTCTGCCACCCCAGTGGGCAGAGTCGAGACCCCACTGCCTGGCAGTCCAGCTCCCGTCAGGAAATACGGGTTCGGCCAGTATTCGTGTGTCCTCTGCCGAAGCAAGGAGCACTTCACGTCCCAGTGCCCTGACAGGCACCACCTTCTCTTACAAAGCACTGCTCTCTACTAACAAAGATGCTGACCTGCCAAACAAAACCTGAACATGAAATTATAACAGTGTAGCTCGTGAAAGTTACATCAGTTTCCCCTTCTTTTCAGTGTGATTCAAACCATTGCATAATCATCAGTTTTCAAACCCCATTGCATGATCATCAGTTTTCAGTGTGATTCAAACCTTTGCATGATCAGTGTGATGCATGATCATCAGTTTCCAGTGTGATTCAAACCTTTGCATGATTAGTGTGATGCATGATCATCAGTTTCCAGTGTGATTCAAACCTTTGCATGATGATCAGTTTTCAGTGTCTGATCATCAGCGATTGGGACGAAGTGGGCAGGGCACACAGTGCGTTCACGCATTGCACGTTGCGTACACGTGTCGGCTCGGTATATGTCCGTATACTATGCGTTTTCGGAGCTGTTTGCGGGGCGTGGCGCGGAGCGAGACGACAAAGGGGTTTGTGTGAAGGAGTTTGCTTCAGTTTCGCACGAACAGACGGCACAGACAGGGCAGAGATGATCCGGTGGCATTGACGAAGGCGTGTATGCCGAGGTGAGTTCACCTTGCTCAGCAGCGGTCATTAGAGCTCACGATCTCGATATTTCTGTTCGCAGGATCTTCCTCCGTCTTCCCACCTCCCCTCCGGAGTGGGTGAAGGCCCCGCGGAGTTCCTGGCTGGGACTTCCCTCCCTCCTCTGTTCCCCTCGCGTCATCCTTGCTCTCGTTCTATCTCTCCTGTTCACAGCGTCTTTCATTGCCATGTGGTCTCACTTCTCTCCGCCTGGCGCCGTGCCTACCGAACACAGTTGTCTCTTCACCCCGTCTGTCCTCTCTCTCTCTCTCCTACCTCTCCTAATCCTCACTTTCATACTACAGTCTTCCTAATGGCACGTGAACCCCCTCCCCCCCACACACACACACACAAGGTCTGGAAGTATACAACTATGGAGTGGTGGTGGACGCAGGAAGCAGCAGCAGTAAGGTGCAGCTGTACCGCTGGCCACCTCACACGGGGAACCCTGCCTCTCTCCTCAACATCCAGCCAATTAGTGACGAGTATGGCTTTCCACTCAGGAAGAAAGTTGAGCCAGGTACACAATTGTACGGGACAGTTTGTCTGTATAACATTTTGAACATTCCCTAATTGTTGCATCATTTCAGTTTAGAATGTCCAAATTCCTTTACTGTCTGTACATACCTTTCTTCTGTGTCACGTCCTCTCACTCCCTGCTGCCCCCCTCAGGTGTAGCTACGTACAGGGAGAACCCAGAGGAGGCCTACCAGAGCCTGGTACCGCTCCTGGACTTCGCCCGGAGCCACATCCCGGAGCAGAAGTGGTCTCAGACCTCGCTCTACGTCCTGTGCACAGCTGGTATGAGGTTCCTCGAGGAGGGAGACCAGGCGCTCATCCTGGGCCACCTGGCACAGTCCATCTCTCTCAACTACCCCTTCCACATCCCTCAGGACGGAATTCAGGTCATCTCTGGACAGATGGAAGGTGAGTGTGTTGAGCAAGGGTGAAGGAAATGAAGTAAGAGCGGTACCCTTATAGAGTTGTTGATTTGGTAGTGCCCATTGAATAATCCAACCGCACACAGGTGTGTACAGCTGGCTGACCATCAACTACCTCCTGAACAGGTTTGATCCTGAGCACCATCACTTCAACTCTGAGAAAGGTTGGCAGTTGACATGTGAGTGGAGAGAGAATCTTCATGCCTCCGTCTTTGCAGCTTCGGGAGACGGAGGGGGTGTGGCAGTAGGGACTGTGGGGTCTCTCGATATGGGAGGTGCCTCCATGCAGATTGCATTTGAAGTACCACCAAACGTAAGTCACGCTGGCAACGCCCACTTCCGTGTACCACACCCACTGGCAACGCCCACTTCTGTGTACCACACCCACCCACCATTACACCAACAGTATAGACACACACGTCTTGTTGGGAAGTAACTTCGGTCATGTTGTGTGTTTATTTTCCAATGGTTGTGATCCTAGTTTAAACCATGTTTGGCCACCTTTCTTGCCAGAGGCTAGCTCTCAACATGATGTGTGTGTCTAGACTGGTGTATAGTTGCTGCTGCCAGCCAACTCCACCCTCCCTCTACTGCAGGTGGACACGCCGGCCTCCCAGACGGTCGACATAAACCTGGGCTGTGGGGTGCAGGACTCTAGACACAAGCACCGAGTCTACATCAACACCTACCTCGGCTTTGGCTCCAACGAGGCCCTCAGACTATACCGGAAACTCTTCTTTAGGATCAACAGGAACAAGTGAGGCAGGGGTTTGGAGTATATAGCTCGGGTAGAACTTATGAACTCAGACGCCCTCCGTAGAGTTAGGAAGGCCTTGCTGATGTATGGAGTGTATGTATATACCTGAGACTGGAGTACATGGTGGTGGACATGCTGTCTTGAACAACTTTTGCAAAACCCTTCCACTCCAAGGCAGCTATGTATATACTTGGTTGACCTCTTTTTTGACAAGAGGATATACACTATTATGAACACTCTAAACTAACTACTGTTGTTTCTCTCTCTAGAACTGTCTCAGAGGAGGTGGACGATCCGTGTCTCCCAGCAAACCTGCGAGAAACTCTAACACTAGGTGACAAGACCCTAGCTCTCAGAGGCACGGGGAACTTCGAATCCTGCCGGACAGCTCTCAGACCAGTACTGCACGGGAACGCCAGTGTCGAGTGCAGCGACCGGACGTGTAAAGTGACACGCCCATTCACGAAACCTCCGGTCAAGTACACGAACATGGAGTTCTTTGGAACGTCAGAGTTTTTCTACACAATGAGGGACACCTTGAGAATTGCCGGTCGATACAGTGCCAGTGACTTTAGCAAGAGGGCCCAGGTATATACACAGCTCCACACACTAACACTATTGCTCAATCTCCTTTTCCTCCACTCCCTCCATAGGACTACTGTAAGACAGACTGGAGTTTACTTGAGGAGAGATTCAAGCAGAACCTCTATCCTTACGCTGATCAACACCGCCTCAGGTACAACTCCTGTTATTCTTCACTCCTTGCTGCCTCACTCCCCCTCGTCTCCTCCTCTCCTCTTCTCTGCAGGTCTCAATGTGGCAAGTCGGCCTGGATGTCACTCATTCTCCACGAAGGGTTGGGATTTCCACTGCAGGCAACTCGACTCACCACTGCTGCTGAGATCAGTCAACACAACGTCCACTGGTCCCTCGGAGCGATACTTTACCTCACCAGATACCTCCCACTCAGGTATATATGATACACCACTAGCTATAATGCTCTCCTGCTCACTAACCTTGTCGTGTATGTCGCTATACAACACCACTCCTCTCCTATAGACACCCCTGAATAAAGACCATTTCCAACAGTTCTATAATTATTATAGTTCTTGTGTGCAATCTAACCCCTGAAATAGGGACACCTAAGTAATATGGACCCTTTTAGAGGTTCCTTGCAATACTCTCTCTCTCGCTCTCTCTCTCTCTGACTTGGTTTACAGAGAGATCCAGCAACAGGCACTGCAGCAGAGTGTCTCACCGCTAGTCTCCACCCACCCTCCCTCCCTCCTCACCACTATCACCGAGTCCTCCTTCCTCCTCCCCTGCATCATGGTTGTCATGGTCGCTCTGACTCTCCTCATCTGTCGCCACCGTCGACCACACCCCTCTCCTTCCTCCTCCTACTGTGGTCTTTACTCTCCCAGCTATGCTGTGGGTGACCTCCTGGGGTCCGGTTCCCAGGCCTCCATACACCGGAACCTCAGTTCCAGGAAACTCACCATTGCTATCCCCTAGCGGAGCTTTATTTAATAGGCTAAATTAATTTGCTTTTTATATCATCAATCATCATCAATTAATATTTATTGACCCTCAGTATATTAATATTGTGGCAACATTCCATTTAGCAAGTTGCAGATTAAATCAGTGGATCAATGCTGATAACTGATGTTAATACATTGATGATGGATTAAACGTTCAGAGTGACTCAGTTATTGAAGAGACCAGCTATCTCTTTCCTCTCCCTCTAAACCTTCCTCTGAAAAACTTCCGTTTGCCACGTCCCTTCTTCCCTCTGCCTCTCCCTCTTGTGGAGTTCACACCAGATGACCCCCACGATCTCGACGATCCCTCACGACCTCGCGACCCCCGGTGGTTGAACTGGTTGTAGTAGTCGGCTCTCTCCTGAGGATCCAGCTCAGTGATTCGACGAAATGTCCTGTATGATCAAAGGTGTGTGTCTGTGTGTACGTGTGTCTGTGTACTGACCTGATGGGAGAGGAACTGATGGTAGTAGGGTCCACCTGGTAGCCACCTCCTTCACACTCCACCACCCGTGGTCCATCAGTCGTCATCCTCACTAACAAGAGAGAGAGAGGCATGTACAGCTCTCAGGCAAGCTGTGTTAAAGTTCTTACCGCCATTATCTTCTTGGCTGTCTCTGTCTGGCGCAGTGGAAGAAAAAGAAATTTCCAGTGAATCGCTGGATGATGGTGGCAGTGATACTACTGGTTGAGCCCTACAATAACAAACATTCTAGAAATCATACACACTGGTTTCTAAAGTGTCCTCCTATGAGATTGGTTTTGCAGCACTGAGAACACAGTAATGTGACGTAAGACTTAGGTACTGCCACAAGCAATGTCTCACTTGCTGAATCTCGGGGTGAGCAGTGAAGACTGTCGCAGTGCAAGGTGAGGACTCACTCTCCTCCTCTGCACATCTCGAGATTGCTCAGTGCCAGCCTCATTGGGCTCTCCACAGCCAGCCGCATGAGCCTCAATCAGGGAGCAAAGGAACAGCTTACGGCACAGAGGACAAGATACCTTCTCTTCCCCCTCCTCTCCTTCTCCATCTTTCTCCTCCTCCTCCTCCTCTTGCTGCCCAAGGCCCGTCTTCTCAGCCATAGTTTCCTCTGTAAGATCAACTACAGTCTGTGGATGACCTCCTGAGTGAGCTCTGCCACTGCTAACGGTCCTCACGGACAAAGGCTGGAACGACTTTCTCTTTGTCCTCTTACCACCACCAACTGCTGCCAAGGCTCTTGCAAACAGTGACTGTGACTCTCCCTTACTCTCTCCCAGTACATCTTCCGCAACTCGTTTGCTATTTTTAGCGTCGTTAGTGTGGCTTGAATTAGAATCGTTCTCGGCATCTGAGTCGGAATCATCCAAAATGTTTGTTCTTCTCTTCCTACGTCCTCGAAATATGATGACATCATCTGCAGCTTCAGTGCTGCTGGCAACATCTGCAGCTTCTTCTACCTCCCCACTCCCTTCCTCCCCTCCACCTTCTCTCTCACCACAATCTAGAGAGCCGTCTTTCCTCCCTCTCTCACCGAGATCCTGAGGTGTCAGTTGACAGTCCTCGACCTCCATCTTCTCTCCACCGACATCTCCAGCAGCAGAGGAAGGCGAGGGAGCCGACTGGTCATCTGCAACGTCTGAAGATGAAGCAAGGTGTGCGCCAGAAGTGGATTTTGCCACGTTGATGGTATTCTCAGTGTGTCAAAGTATCCCGGAA